TTCATCCACCTTTTTAGCTCCATCTTCTCTGCAAAACTTCCCTTTTTGATTCATTGGAGTCGCAATTGGCTTGCACTCTTCCATGCTGAATTTCTTGAGGAATTCCTTTGCATATATATGCTGGCATAGAAATATTTCATTTTGCTTTTGATGTACCTACGTACCAAGGAAGAATGTCATCCTCCCAAGGTCCGTCATTTCAAAGACATCTTTCATTTCTTCTTTAAACTTGTTAATCAACTCCTTACTACTTCCTGTAACAAGTAGATCATCAACATACAGAAATACCACAAGAATTTCATCATCAACCTTCTTGATATATAAAGTAGATTCACTTGGACTTTTTTCAAAGCCTAAGTTCACTAAGTGTGAATCAATTCTACTATACTAGGACCTTGGCGCCTATTTTAAATCATATAGGGATTTTTTCAGTCGATATACCTTCTCCTCTTGTCCTTGAAAAACAAACCCTTCAGGTTGCTCCACAAAAATTTCTTCCTCCAGGTATCCATTCAAAAAAGCTAACTTGACATCCATTTGGTATATAACTCAACCTTTTTGTGCAGCAAGAGCTAGCAACATCCTTATGGTATCCAACCTGGCAACTGGGGCAAAAGTTTCAGAAAAATCTACCCCAAACATCTGGGCATATCCCTTGACAACAAGTCTTGTCTTGTACTTGTTTACAAAACCTTCAGGATTGAGCTTGGTCTTGTAAACCCACTTGACTCCTATAGCTTTCTTGTGTTTAGGTCTATTTACTAACTCCCATGTTTGCTAAAGCTCCTCCTTCATTGCAGATATCAACTTTTGATCAATTGTAGCTTCTTCATACCTTGCAGGCTCCATTACAGCAACATTACACCTCTGATAAATGTCAGAGAGTGATCTGGTTCCTCTAACAGGTTCATCATCCACATCATCATTCTTCTTCTGAACCTTAAGCTTCTTGCCATTCTCCCAACTCCAGTTATCTAACTCAAGAAATTGGACATCCCTGGTGACAATTACTTTGTTGCTTTGTGGTAAGTAGATCATGTAGGCCTTTGAAATTGAGCTATAGCCTACAAAATTTCCAGATTCTGCTTTCTTGTCCAACTTGTCTCTCTTAACTTGAGGGTCTCTCTTAACTTGAGGGATGTAAGAGAAACATACGCAACCAAATGTCTTCAAATTAAGCAACTTTGGTTTGTAGCTAAACCATGCTTTAAATGGAGTCTTTTTCTGCAAAGCTTTTGTTGACAATCTGTTTAGCAGAAAAATTGTTGTATTTACAGCCTCGGCCCAACATTTCTTTGGCAGCCCTTTGTCATGAAGCAAGTGACCCCATAAACTGTCCCGACATTGATTCCGGTTAGTTTCTTCAAGGGTCCAGCAAGACTCCTTAAACTGTCACAACATGTATTAGTCTCATATTAGCTACAACGGTCCGACATGACCCCGTAAACTGTCCCGACATTTATTCCGGTTAGCTTCTACAACAACGGTCTGACATGACCACACAGTGTCTGCTACAACGGTCCGACATGACCCCGTAAACTGTCTTCTACACCGGTCCGACATGACCCCATAAACTGTCTTCTACAATGGTCCGACATGACCCCATAAACTGTCTTCTACAATGGTCCGACATGACCCCATAAACTGTCTTCTACAATGGTCCGACATGACCCCATAAACTGTCTTCTACAATGGTCCGACATGACCCCATAAACTGTCTTCTACAATGGTCCGACATGACCCCATAAACTGTCTTCTACATCGGTCTGACACGACCACACAGTGTCCTGCTACATCGGTCCGACATGACCTCGTAAACTGTCCTGCTACATTGGTCCGACATGACCTCGTAAACTGTCCTGCTACATCGGTCCGACATGACCCCGTAAACTGTCTTCTACATCGGTCTGACACGACCACACAGTGTTTGCTACAACGGTCCGACATGACCCCGTAAACTGTCTGCTACAACGGTCCGACACGACCATACCGTGTCTTCTACAACGGTCTGACATGACCATACAGTGTCTCCTATCCCATTTTTAATTTTATTTGTCAGCTTATTTTTTCTGTTTTGTTATTCTCTCCAAACTCAAGTTGGCTAGTACCTATCCTCCTTGAGTTTGAGGGGGGCTGTTAATGTAAATTGTGTAAATGTAAATTACCACTACCACCCACTCCACTTACCACCTCCACTACCACCCACTCCACCTACCACCTCCACTACCACCTACACCTACTACCATCTTCTCTTCTATATATAGGAATTGTAATATACATCAAATACACATCAATCAATAATACACTTAACATCAATCATAATACATACAATTTATTCTCTCTCTATCAATTTATCTTACACAATCTTCCAATTGCACGAGCACGCACACGTAGAGAGAGAGAGAGAGAGAGGGGGGCTGTTGATTTGGGTTTTTTTTTTTTAATTAAATCAAAATGGTGTCGTGCTGTGACAGCACCCACCCCAAACCCTCTTTGGATAATCACTTAATCATGCTTTAAAAATATTAGATATTTTTTATTATTTAAATGATATCATTGATGTGATATTTTATTTTTGATTTGTTATTTTAAAACTTAACAACTTCATTACTTTTATAATACACATCTATTTTTAATAAAATTTATATTTTTGGAGTATAATTTCCAAATTTATATTTTCTATTATTATACACATCTATTTTAAAGAAAATTTATTATTAAAAATAGTTTAAATTGTAAATTTATAATGAAAAATATATTTTTATTTTGATATAATTTTTATTTAATATTAATTTTTTCACCAAAGAAGGGCCAATGAAAAGATTTTGACCAAATTTCCCAGCAAAAGTAGCATAGGGCTTGGTTCGTGATAACTAGAGCTAGGCCCAATATTTTCCCATGAAATAAACATTTGTGTCAACCTTTCCACTCCCATCTGTTGCATTAAATGGGCCTGGGACCCAAACTGAACAATTCAATCACAGCCCAGCAACAAAGGAAGCAATGAAGCACGTAACACGTTCTGCACCACACACACACAGAGACTGACGGACTCTGTCCACCACTCATAATTAGGGCTGTTATCGTCCGTTGGCTCGCTCAATCTGCCTAATTATATTTTTTTGAAAGTCTAAAAATATTTTTTTAGTCCATAGAATTGGATTGAGTTAATATTTTCAGCTTGATTAATTAATCGGATAGATTTGGAAATTATATTTCTTGCCCGATCCAACCCGCTACATATTTAATTAAACTAATTGATTAATTTATATGATATATTAAAAATATATATATATATATATATATATATATATATATATATATATATATATATATATTTATTTTGTTTTGATAGAAACAAAGTCCGTATTAAGTAATGTCAGCCGGGTCCAGCTTCTGTCCAGTCTGGGATCGGACTGGACCGTGTTATTGGGCCTGTGGGGACCACCACAGGTCCCGTTTTGAAAATCTGAACCGTTCAATGTGTAAAACTCGTTGAGTACTACATGCTTATAAAAAATCACATTAATTGGATATCGATAGCTATGCGATCAAATCAGTTTTGTATAAAAAAAAAAATAGATGGTAAAAAAATTAACGGTTGATAAAAAACTGTTTTGTTCACATAGCTATCGATATCCGATCAAACTTGATTTTTTACAAGTATATAGTACTCGACGAGTTCTACATATTGAACGATTTAAATTATTAAAACGAGACCCGTGATGCGTCTCCACGGACCCAACAGCACGGTCCAGTCCGATCCCGGACTAGACAAGAAGCCATGGCCATGTCAACCTGGCTTGGGGGATGATTACCCTACTCATAACAAGGTCTAAAAAATGGGTAATTATTAGGTATTTTTGAAATATAATGACATATTATTTTAAAGTATTATAATTGATGAAAAAAAAATATATTATAATTTTATATTGAGTTATTAAAAAAAAATGATAAATGATGATGGATGAACGGATATAAACATGTGTTTCTCCGGATTACCTAACAATTATTCCTAAAAAACATTCACGAACATATAGCCAAACACATATCTCTCTCTAGATCACAGTGGTGATAATAGGCAATAGAGAGAAGAGAATGGAGGGAGTTGGCATCATAAAATTGGCAAGGGTCTTGACGATGGGCATGGTGATGGTGTATATGTGTCAGGCGAGCAACCTCCACCCTCTGATCGTAGTGCCAGGGAATGGAGGGAACCAGTTAGAGGCTCGGCTGACGGCGGAGTACAAGGCGCCGAGCTTGTTATGTTCCCGGCATCACCCGGCTAAGAAGGATAAAGAGGGATGGTTCAGGCTGTGGTTCGACATCAGCGTGCTCTTGTCTCCCTACACAAAGTGCTTCGCTGAACGCATGACGCTCTACTACGACGCCGATTTGGATGATTACAGAAATGCCCTTGGGGTTCAGACTAGAGTCTCCGGATTTGGTTCTACCAAGTCCATGCTCTACCTTGATCCTAATCTCAAGTAAGTAATGCTCTCTCTCTCTCTCTCTCTTGAGCTTTTTTTTCCTTTTTTTCTTTTTTGTATGAGTCTCTCGATTGGGGCATTTTTTTTGGGGTTGGGGATATTGAATTCTAGATTCTAATTAGTTAAAAATTTTCATCTGAAATTGGCTTTGAATTTTCGACTGAGAGAAACACAAATTTTTTACTTACCCGTCGTCTCCGACTTCAGAGGAGAAATGTTCCACCACCGCCAATTGTTGATAACGAATATTCTCTTATCTTTCTTCATGGGTGGTTGTTCTCTGTCTTTATGAAATCACCCTCTTAAACTATAAATGGAAAATTTTACAATATCTTTACATAATTATATAATTTTATTCTTTAATTATGATCAATTTTTTATTTTATTTTAATTATGATAATATTTTATTTATAACTCATGATGTCTCATGTAGTGTTTAGTTATAATTTTTTTTTAAAACAAATTATAATAAATCCCTCTCAACTATGACTCATTTTTAAATTGCCTTTTAGGTCTCGTTTAGAAATAGACTATTTTAATATTTTTTTGAATTTTTACGAAAAGATATGCAGAAAAATAAAGAGAGTGATGTGACAATTTATAATGACTTTTTCACTTTTTAACTAAAATAGAAAATTACCAAAGGAAGCCTTAGTAGTGTTTTGAGAAGTTAGTAAAAAGTTAACTTTTTGACTTTTAAATTTTTTTGGTAGTTTTTTTGGCCAAAAAAAACTGGCTTCTTTGTCTAAAAAAATTAACTTTTTAAGCTAAAAAAATTAAAAAGCCAAAAAACTGACTTTTTTAACTTCTTCCCAAAGTGTTTCTTAATATTTAAAACTCAACACCTAGCTCATTTTAAGTACATGAAATAAAGTGGATAATCCTACCTACCTCCACAAAATTAACTCTACACATATTTTCTTTTTACACATTTTCTTCAAATTTAAAAATTTACTCCTTTCTCATTACACCTACATAATACCATATCTATCCTTATTTTCCCAAACCCAAACCTTAGCCACACTCCCAACTACCGTCTCCCGACTAACGCTATTACCTCCGATAGCTAACTCGCAGCCCTTTTCTCATTGGCGACAACCCTTCTATCTCTAGTGACCACCCTTATCTCTGTATTCTCTTATTCTTTTCTTATCCCCACCACCATAATTAAACCCCTCCGACAACTCCCAAAGCAGCGACTTCTTTCCCGCTTCATTTTCCATCGGCGATCTCTTCCACCACAAGACATCCCCAATCTATCGACTTTGACACAGTCCCCCCACCTTATCTACCGCTGCACAAACTCTCAGTTGTGACCAAGCCAACGCCGCGCGAACTCTACCTTGCAACCCAACCATCGTGCAACAGAGAAATAAAGAAACTAGGGTTTCAGAGGTACTGGATCTAGGTGTTATGAGCAACGGGCGCAGATAACGGGGTGGGTTTGCCGTTGGGGAAAGAAATCGTTGGTGGATTTTGGCGCCGAAGGAGGAGGAGCTCGCTAGGGATGGGAAGAGAGGTCATCAGTGACATTGTAGTGGTAATGGCCGGAGAGATTCTGGTGAAAAGGTAGGTAGTGAAAATTTAGGATTAGGGCTTGAGAGTTCTTTTGGTAAATTTGAAAAGGAATGAAAGTGTAATGAAAATTTGAAAATTTGGAGTGTAAGGAGCTTATTTAATGGTGCAAGTAGAATTTCCCAATACAGATGCTATTAACATTGTTAACTTAAAACATCACCTTACCTTTTTACCATTACTTTAGCCTTGTTTGGTAGGGCTTGTTTCCAGCTTATTTTAGCTTTTAGCTTAATTTAAGCTATTTTGATGTGTTTGGTTCAGCTTAACAATATAGATTGTAACTTTTTGTAAGTCAAAAATCAACTTTTTCTTTGAGTATGGGAAGATAAGCTTAATTTATAAGTTAAAAATCAACTTAAGCGCGCAGCTGAGATGTGAGGGGTAAAATGACTAAAATGCCCCTCACAATTTCAAATTATTGCAAGTTTGCCATGTATATAAATCAAAGCACATTCATTTTTGTCCCTTACACAAGCTAAAGAGGCGATTTCCGACGAATGGAGGCGATTTCCAGCGAAGGGGATTTTCGGCAACGAGGTGATTTCTGGTTCTCTCTCTCCCTCTCTCTTCGTTATCTCTTCTCTCTCTTTCTCGTGGTCTGAACCCCTAACCAGAAGGGCAAAACCCTCCCGTCGTAGGGGGGCAAAACTCTCTCTCTCTCTCTCGCACTCTCTCTTTCTCGTGATCTGAACCCCTAACCATAGGGACCAAACCCTCCCGTCGTAGAGGGACAAAACTCTCTCTTTCTTTCTCTCATGAACCAGAAAGGCAAATCCCTAGCTCGCCATCGACGGTGTGACGATCGAACGGTGACAAACTAGAGCTCACAATCAACAACCCTAACCACACCCATCATGATCGATCGTGATCTGAACCAAAGGCAAACCCTAGAGCTGTCGGCGATGGCTAGGGTTTGCTATTATTGTAAAATGAAGAAGAAAAAAAAAAGAAGAGAAAAATGAAATAAATTAAAATTGTTTAATGAATTAAATAATTAAGCCATTAATTGATAATTAATTTTATATTAAGCCATTAATAAAAAATATGAAATAATAATTAAGCCATTAATGAAATAAATTTTATATTAATTGATAGAATTAAATAATTTTAGTATTAATTGATACTAAGTAGCCATTAATTGATAATAAATTAAATTAAAAAATATTAATGTATTTATAAACTAAAATTAATATAAAAAAATAATATGTAAGAAGAGAAGGACAAAAAAGAAAATAAAATAAAATGAAGAAAAAGAAAAAAAAAATTAGAGAAGAAAAGAAATAAAGAAATAAAGAAACACGAGAATAAATTGAAGGAATGGAATTGTTATATCATAATTAATGAAAACAGAATCACAATTTTTATTTTTTAAAATTAAAATTGAAGAAAAAAATGAAATATAAAATGAAATAATTTATATTAAATGAAATAAAAAAATGAATATTATAACTTCTATTAAATTAATATAAAGAAAAATAATATGTAATGACATCACAACATTAATATAAATACATTGATATTAATTGATATTAATTGTAATGGTCATAAGGGCAAAAATGACAATTACACAACAAAAAATTATTTTACAGCTTATTTACCAAATACTACTCTGCTGCTTAAATTTATAATCCCACAACTACACCAAATAGGTTATTAGCTTATGTTTACAGTTATAAGTTATAACTTATTAAGTTATAATCTATAATCACTTTCCAACAGTTCTACCAAACAGGGCCTTTGATATTGTCTTCCTTAACCCACCTAGATTATCTCTCTCTCAATAAAAACAAAAACTCACCATTTCCCTTCTTTCCCGAACTCTACCTTGCAACCCAAACTTTGGACTGGGTTTGGTTAAAGCTAAGTCGACACTATATAATAAGAGATTTTGTGTCTATCTAAACCTGACTCGGCCCTAATATCGGGCTTCTATATCTGCCTAAGTTCGGTCTAAAAAATAATTATAAATCCTAAGTCCATCAATCGGATTATATGTTTAAAAAAGTTTACAGCATTTCATAAATAAATTCAATCACACATTATATTTTTTTAATGAATATATGGACATCATTATAATTTAAAAGATTTTATATATAAATTGAATGATTTCTTAAATAAATCTAATCACACATCACTATAAATGTGATTTTTAATCAAATCAACAAAGATAAAGTTTAAATTTCAAAACATATATATTTTTTTAATGTGTTATAAATAATTAATTAATTAATTAATTAAATAATGAATCGAATTGAGTTGAAAGTATAAATTTTAAACTCAACCCATTAATATTTTGAACTAAAAATATTGACACAACCTAACTATTAAAACAACCATCTCAAACTCTAAAAAAATAAGATTGAAATGGACGAACTGGGTGAGAATCAAGATCCCTTCCTTGCATTTCCTACTTCCAGGGCTATTGGGCCTACTTTTAGGCCCAATTTTGATAATTCGAACCGTTCATATTTTAAGATTTGTTCAGTATATCATACTTGTAAAAATCAAGTTGAAGCATGTGTTCGGAAAACAGTTTATTAAATTCTTTAAAAAACTAATTTTTAGTGCGAGTTTCCCGAATACATATTTTCTGATACCCGATCAACTTGATTTTTTACAGGTATGATATATTGAACAAATCTTAAAATATGATCAACTTAATTTTTTACAAGTATGATATACTGAACAAATTTTAAAATATGAAACGATTTGAATTATCAAAATTAAACCTAAAAGTAAACTTAATAGTAATGAGGAGATCCTATTCACTGGGTGATATTGACCTCTGGTCACCTATTACCTCTAAATCACCTTTCCTTTCCCTTGCCAACAAATGCCACATTCTCTTTCCCATTTCTTATATCTTGCCCTATAAAAAATTAAGATTTTAGAGATTAAAATTTAAAGATAAAATTATTTTTTAAAAATCAAATATTTTTATTATAATAAATATTGTTATTATATTTTTAGTAACAAAAATTAGACATTAGTGATGAATTATTATCTTTTTAGGATCAAATTTTTTGTTTCAAAAAATAAATAATTTTGAGACCAAATTATTTTGTCCCTAAAAATCTATTTATTAGTGACATTTTCAAAATTTTGTCGCTAAAAGTCTTGTTTTTTACTTTTCAAGACGACCTTTTAGCGACTATTCTCATAACTATAGAAATTGGTCCTTAAATGTCTTTTGTAACAAAATTTTTATTTTTAAAAATCAAAACATTTAATCTCTAAAATTCTAATATGTTGTAGTGTTGTAAAAACCCATACCCATCACCATCAATTCCATACCCATATTTTTTCTTCCCCAATTATCAATTGCCACTGATCAATTGATCTTTTTATGCTCATCATCACACTTTTTCAATCCATCGTTATATATAGATAACCCACGATGAAGGACCCGCCAATAAATCATGTTCAACTACAATAAATCTATTCGCAATTCAGATTTGTTCCTCCATGTTAAAATATTAGAGAGAAGGAAAATATTATGTATTATATTGAATGAATTGTATTGAATAATATGTCCTATACAATAAAAGGTTTGTATATATAGATTGAGAAAAAGTATCCTATTAAAAATCTAATTATGAGAAAGAGTATCATATAATAGACCTAACTATGACAATACCTAATATATCTAGGAAATCAATACCTACTATATGTAGGAATATATACCATATATACATTAACATCCCTCCTCAAATTTAAGGAGGATAAACATCTTGAGTTTGGAGAGAGAAACTAAAACATGAAATAAAACTAAAATAGATTGCAAAATCCGAACGGGAGCGCAAGGGCGCTTAAAATAGATCAGAGGCTGGAACTAAAGTCGAGAGACAGTTTATGGTCGTGTCGGATCATTGTAGATACTGGCTGAAACTAATGCTAGGATAATTTAAGGTCGTGCTAGACTAATATAGAAATTGGCTGGAACTAATGCCGAGAAACAGTTTATGGTCATGTCGAACCATTGTAGGAACTAGTTGGAACTAATGCCAAGACAGTTTAAAAGGGTCATGTCAGACCGATGTAAGAGCTAATTGGAATCAATATCGAGACAATTTAAAGGGGTCATGCCAGACCGATGTAGAGAACTGGATGTTGAACCAGCAAGCGTGGCACACACATAACTTATGACGTGGTGTTGAAAGATGATGGCAACAAATGAATGAGTGCACCAGGAGGCGGCTTGGATGGTGGGCTAGGGGGCGAGTTTGGTGGTGCGCCAGAGAAAACGACTTAGATTGTGTGCCAAAGAGAGGCAACTTGGGTTGTGCACCAGAGAGTGTGGCTTAGATTGTGCGCCAAAGAAGGCGACTAGGTGGTTTGCATGGTGTATAACCATTTTCACCATGATATATATATAATACCCTCCCTTAACCTCAAATAAGTTTGAAGATAAAAACCAATTTGAGGTTGAAATAGAGAGAAAGATAAAGTGGAGGAAAAAAAACGTAGTACGAGTAAAAAATAAAAAATAAAAAAATGATAAAGATATTTGGAGTAAAAATAAACCAGCAGATAGAGGAAGAGATCACCATAAAACGATACTGAAATGAAAACATGACAGCGAAATAAGTTGAGGTCCGATAGGCGACCAAGGCAAGGTTGCCACCCGTCGATAAGGTGAAAAACACCAAGAGCTTAACCTATAGCTCTGATACCATGTTAGAATATTAGAGAGAGAGGAAATATTATGTATTGCATTTAATGAATTATATTGAATGAATTGTCCTATACAATAGAAGGCATGTATATACAAGCTGAGAAAGAATATCTTATTAGAAATCTCACTATGAAAAAAAGTATCCTATGAGAGACCTACCTATGGCAATACCTAATATATCTAGGAAATCAATACCTAATATATGTAGGAATATATACCATATATACATTAACACTCCATATACGCCACCAAAATTGTCAATGGAATGAGATATTGGGTTATATACTATGGTAGTGAATGTGATAGAAGAAGGGGGCCGTGATGGTGTAGCCCACTTGTGGTGGTGGAAGGCGATGGGTTGCATGTGATTGGCAACGACAGCTTGTGGTGGCTAGCGGTGAAAGAATGATCACAGAAATCGAACCGATCGACCGAATCGAACCGAACTGTCGGTTAACGATCTATTTATTCTTTTGTATTTCGGTCGATCGGTAGAATTTTTCCTTTTTTTCGGTTTTCAGTTTTCGGTTTGGTTTATGTGAATTTTACACCGCACCGAACCGCATCGAATAAGACTCCATCTTAGCCATCCATGTGTTTCAATCCCAATAGTCCATTGAATAATATATATATATATATAACAAATGGCAACGCTTTTCCTTCCAAGTTGACCACAGTGAAAAAGTTGGGAACTTTTGGTCTTTTCTTTCACCGATTCTTTCTCTCTTTTTCTTACTTTTTGTCTTCACTTCAAAGTTCAAACAAATTAGGGTTTTTTTTACCAAGGGTGAGAAACAAATTAGGGTTTTTACTAGGGCACTCTCAGATTCACCACCACTATCATTCATTACTCAGAATCTTGAAACAAAATCTTGGTACCAGGTAAATTTCATCCCTAATTTTTTTATTTTGAAAACCCTATTTTTTATTGTTTTACTTTTTGAACAAACCCTTTTTGTTTTATTGTTATTTTTTAGTTATGAAAAATTATCGAAATACACAAACTCAAATCAGTACCTGGTTGTTTTCTTGCACATCTCCAGCTTTGTTTTGATTTTGGGTCTAACAAGAGGTTGAAAAAAGAAGATTTTTAAGGGAAGTAGAGTGGTGTTGTTGATGATTATCATCATGATCTTCATCAGAATCAACATGGGTTTTTGTTGTTTTTAGTAGTGTTGTAAAAACTGAGACTTGTTCGTTGAGAAGCAATGGAATCATTTTGCCAAACAACTTGATCGCATGGTCTTTTACTTCCGACATTCTTCTCCTTTGTTTTTTAGATTTTTTTCTTTCTTTCTTTCTTTTTTCTCCTCTTTCACTCTGTATATATATTCTCTGGACTTGAAATAAATCTTTTTTTTCTCTGTTGCTTGCTTGGTTGGGGATAATTGATCTTGCTTTTGTTAATGGATAAAAGTAGGCCCAAAAGCGTAGCACTGCACCACATCATACCGAAACCACATAAAACGGTTTGGTCCGGTTTATAGATGTATTGCGGTCTGTTCGGTTTCCAAAAAAATAAAACCGATTAATTCGGTTCGGTGCAAAAACTACGAAAAAATCGGTCGGACCGCACTAATTTCACCCCTAGTGGTGGCCACAGTGGTGAAAGTTGTAAGGAAAATCTTATATATATATATATATATAATAAATCAGGACAGTTTTTGAATCTTCAACATATTTTTGTCTTATTAGGATATTTGGATGGCTCAGATCTGTTCAAATTATAAAACAATGGCTGAGATATATTTTTTTAAATATGTCCTACATGTACATTTTCTACTTTCCCGCTTCTCTCTCTTATTTTTTCCTTTTCTCGCCCGTCCTTTTATTTATTTTTTACTCCTTTTTGTTCACTTATTTTTATTCACACCATACCTTCAGGTACGGACATATACTAGTATATATATATTTCGCACCTGGACAAATTTCATGAAAAAATTCATTAAAGAGAGTTTGTGCATTTTGTGAGTTTTCATCGCTACATGTTGAATCAAGAGTACATGTTGAGTTTTCACTAGAGTAGATGTTGAATCAGTTTAACATATATGCCCTTGGAGATTGAAGATGTACGCGTGTACATTGCATACATACATATAGGATTGTTTTGAAAAGTTAGTTAAAAACTGACTTCTTGTCTTCTTCTTCTTTTTTTTTTTTTTTTTTTTTTTTTTTTTTAAATGAAAAAACATAAAAAAAAAGTAGAGAGATGACATAATATACCTACATATACTATTTTGAATGTCAAGTTAAAGATCCCAAAAATGTAGGCTATTTTCGTAAGAGAACATCATTTACTTTGTCATGCATTGCTCATATGACACTTTCCATCTAAAACTCTAACGATTTGCTAACAGAAGGGGTTTAGTGTCATCGGAGTATACTTGAAGGGGTTGAGTGTCGAGTTGTAGATATTAAGAAGTTAATTGAGAACAGGTCATAGTTAAGAGGGATTTACTATAATTTATCTTCTTTTTTTTTTAATTATGACTAAAAAAATATAAAGTTATCATATTTTATTATTTAGTTATAAGGTGGATATATATTTTTTCCCTAACTTAATTTATCGATTAAGTTGAAGTGATTAAATTTAAGCCACGTGGCATGTGAGGCCCAAGTTCAACTTAGGAATACTCGCAACTGTTTTGATGTTTTGGGCCTGCTCATCAAACCTAACATAACACAGCCCAACAAAGATGAAGTATGCGCGGAACACATCGTTGCATTTCATTTCACGAGTAAAAAAATATTCAATAGAAAATATCGGCAAAGCTCTAATTGAACCCTTATTTATTTATTTATAAATTTTAAAGTCAGTTAAAAATGGTGGTCTTGAGAAATCTCATATTGTATAGTGAAAACTAGTTAATTAGATTAGTAAGATATATTTTATTAATCCGAAAACCAGTAAATGGTGTAACTCAGCTCAATATTTGTTCCCTCAAATGATGTACGAATATTGTTTGATTGCATGGTACTGTTAGAAATTTGAATGCAACATTAATTTTCAAGCCAGTATGACTCATTTCAATATCTTCATTTCACTGCAACTTCACTAAACAGGCCAATCACACCATACATGGCTACCCTAGTAAAATCCCTAGAGAAAATCGGCTACGTGGATGGCAAAACCCTCTTCGGAGCTCCTTATGATTTCCGGTATGGTCTAGCCGCCGAGGGCCACCCATCCCACGTCGGTTCCAAGTTCCTCCAAGACCTAAAAACCCTAATCGAGTCAGCAAGTGCTTCCAATGGTGGCAAACCCGTAATCCTCCTAACCCATAGCCTCGGCGGCCTCTACGTCCTCCAGCTCCTCAACCGATCCCAGCCCTCTTGGCGCCAAAACTACATCAAACACTTCATCGCTCTCTCCACACCTTGGGGTGGCACTGTGGAGGAAATGCTTGCTTTCGCCTCCGGGACTGCACTTGGTGTCCCCCTAGTCAATCCATTGCTCGTCAGAGATGAGCAAAGAAGCTCCGAAAGCAACCTATGGCTCATGCCAAACCCAAAATCGTTTGGTCCAAAAAAACCACTCGTGATCACGCCAAAGGCGACGTACACAGCATATGACATACTACAGTTTTTGGACGAATTAGGGTTTCCGGATGCCAAACAAAGGTATGAAACTAGGGTTTTTCCATTGGTCGATCGGTTGGAACCACCTGGAGTGCCAGTTACTTGCGTGATCGGGACTGGGGTTGAGACGCAGGAGACTTTGTTTTATGGGAAAGATGGGTTTGATAAGCAGCCGGAGATTGTTTATGGTGACGGAGATGGGACAGTGAATATGGTGAGCTTGTTAGCAGTCGAATCGGAATGGAAGGAGGCGAAAAATCAAACACTCAAGTTTATTAGGGTTCCTGGTGTTACTCATACAGGTATACTCGAAGAGCGTGCTGCACTTGATGAAATAATTGGAGCGATTGATTCTATCAATTCTCAGCTTGTGGACTCACTTGCATCAATGTGAGCAAGGAAGGCTATTTATTTTTTTTATTTTTCAAGGCTAACAAGCATTATTATTTATTAATGTTTTACAAATATTATGTATTTTAAATAATAATGAGAATTTGAATGTACAATAAATTTAAATTCGGCATGGGCAAGATGAATATGATATTAGGCAAAATTTGAATTCACTCGTGAAATGATAGTTGTTGTTGAATTAGTGAATTCACATTTGATATACGAATCAATGATATCTATATTTCATTTTCTTCTTGTTAAAATATATTTAAAAGAACTTATTTACAAGTAAGTCCCTTCTTTTTTACTAAAATTTTAATCAATGTCCTATTTAATCTGCAAAACATTACACTATATAAGATCTGCTGTTATTAGAGTTTCTTCAACAACCCACCACAATCTTTATTTCATTTGAATCCACCCCTTTTGATCATCATCAGCAGCAGCACTTGAAATCACTCTAAATAAACACTCATTTTCACAGTGACGTACTTCATAAACTCATATGGGTTTCTTCTCAGACAGACTCTCTAAGAAGCAAAATCCATTTTTCACCCAGGAATTTCATATGTTTGAGGATAACCAAGTTGCTCTGTCTCCCAGCTCAACTTTGAAGCAACTCATTCATGGCAAGGAACATACTCCTATAATAACAAAAACGTAAAATATAAATAATGATATCTAATTTTTCAACTACCATCTTCACTGGCAGAAGCAAATATATTATAAAATAATCATTTTGTAGAAGCAAACATGATGACAATTGTTATAATATGCATTATGATCTTCAAGCTTGTATGCTACGCAATGTTGAAACTATGTGAGAATTTGATGTGCCAATTGTGAACAAAAGTAATAAGTGTAATGAAATCTGTTTAAGAGTTTTTGAAAGAGTTTTTTTAAGTGATATAATTTGGAGTTTTGGAGTATTTATTATTGGATGATTGGCCAATAAGTCTCATATTTTGGACTTGTAATCTGTATAGTTTTATATTTTTTTTTGTGTGATTCATTTAGTCATTTTGAATATGTAATGACTCATTTGCCCATCATATTAGAGCGTTACATTTGCGGAGTTACATTGGAGTGTTTTGTTTGGAAAAAGTACACTAACGAGTTTTTTATTGTGTTCGTGTTATATTAGAGTGTCACGTTTGGGAAAAATACACTAAGAACTATTTTAGTGTGTTACATCAAAGTGTTACGTTTGAGGTTTTTCAGTATGTTACGTTTTTTTTTTTTTTTTTGATCAGTAAAGAAAAATTTCATTAAAAACATGAAATTAAAGATACAGGAAGAAGAAATGCACTGAGAGAGTTTCGGAAAGTATAAAATACCCCTACTACTGCTACTCGCAACCATACAACCAACCCCTCGGCCTCACGATTTTTTTTAAACAAAAAAAGTTAAGAAGAACTTAACAGAATATAAAATACATGATTTTTCACAAAATCAACCCACCAAAATCAAACCACAAAATCAAGCTAGTAACCCAAATATTTTAAACACCAACTACACTTCCACAGCCCACAGTACCCAAGACCCACGCCTACTCTGCAGCTCACGCCCACGCCTACTCTGTAGCCAACCACCCACCTGAACACCTAAGCTGCTGTGCTGCTGCACTCCCGAGGCCACACCTACTCTGCTGCACTCTGCTGCACTCCCCACACCACCGGAAAACACTGTAGCCAACAGGTCACGGCTCTAAATACCACCGGAAGACACCATCAACCAACAGCCCACAGCTCCAAACACCATTGCAACTCCAAACTCCATTGCAACTCCAAATTCCAACCTCCAAACTCCGAAGACAAATTAACACCCAACCTCCAAACTCCAAAGACAGATTAACACCCAACCTCCAAACTCCAAACTCCAACCTCCACACTTGCTACCGAACAACCTGCCAAACTCCAAACACCACCGGAAAACACCATCAACCAACAGCCCACAGCTCCAAACACCATTGCAACTCCAAACTCCATTGCAACTCCAAATTCCAACCTCCAAACTCCGAAGACAAATTAACACCCAACCTCCAAACTCCAAACTCCAACCTCCACACTTGCTACCGAACAACCTGCCAAACTCCAAACACCACCGGAAAACACCATCAACCAACAGCCCACAGCTCCAAACACCATTGCAACTCCAAACTCCAACCTCCAAACTCTGAAGACAGATTAACACCCAACCTCCAAACTCCAAACTCCAACCTCCAAACTCTGAAGACAGATTAACACCCAACCTCCAAACTCCAAACTCCAACCTCCAAACTCTGAAGACAGATTAACACCCAACCTCCAAACTCCAAACTCCAACCTCCAAACTCTGAAGACAGATTAACACCCAACCTCCAAACTCCAAACTCCAACCTCCAAACTCTGAAGACAGATTAACACCCAACCTCCAAACTCCAAACTCCAACCTCCAAACTCTGAAGACAGATTAACACCCAACCTCCAAACTCCAAACTCCAACCTCCAAACTCTGAAGACAGATTAACACCCAACCTCCAAACTCCAAACTCCAACCTCCAAACTCTGAAGACAGATTAACACCCAACCTCCAAACTCCAAACTCCAACCTCCATGATGCTTCTTATAAGGGTTTAGGATGTGTTTTAATGCAGAATGGTAAAGTTATTACGTATGCTTCCCGACAACTGAGACCACATGAAAAAA